CTTTATGGATGGTCCCCCAAAGGTAATCTAACGCCTGGGGCAGCTCTGTGACTTGCCAAAGTTCTAAGGGCCTAGCGGTCTGAGGGAAATCACATGTCCTTCATGGGTAACGTTCTCTTGAGGCAACACTTTGAGGCAGGGAGCAGGAACCTAGACTAAAACACTCCTGTTGATGTCTTGCTGGAAGTAGGAGCCTCACAACAACAAGGACATCCCAGCCAAAGGCATACAAACTCTCACATCTGGGGGAAAAAAAAAAAGGAGGAATGCCTCAGATCTTCCCAGCCTCAGTCCCTTCTTCTCAAAGTCTAGCACAGGCTTTTCGTTTTGCAGCCCTTGGCATGTCAGCAGTTGTCTGAGCAAGAGTGGAACGGGAGCAGAGTAGGAGCGGCTTCTCCAGCATACACGTCTGGTGGTTCCCCATGACACGGGGAAGGTTACCTACTTGGATAACTGAGTAGAGACTAGAATCCTCCCATTGTCCAGGAAAAGCAGACATCTGGGAAAGCAGAACATGTTACAGATAGCAGAAGCAATGAAGCTGAGGAGAGAGAGAATGTGTGTGTGTGTGGACAGCCTAAGAGAAGGGGACTGCGTGTCTGAAGGCTGTCACCCAACCCAGGTCACCCAGGAGTATGTGGTGTGAGGCAAACTTGTGAGATGAATTTCATACTTTTGTGTTTAGCTGAGACCTGTTCGATAGAGGAGAAGTCCAGTAATATTTTGATTAATGACTTCCTTGAGGATGAAGCTCTTTAATACAGACAGCTCTATTAGAAAAAAACCTCAAGCCAAAATTCCTTCATAAATCATGCAAAAAATGGCTCCCTACACAACAGAAATAGCTCAAGCGCAGTCTCTATTTGTCTTTGGTTAGATGCTGATAAATAGGGTTCATCCTTAGCAAAGTTGTAACAGCTGAACTTTATCTTCGGCTGCATGTCTTTCTGCACCTTCCGTTTGGATCTATAGCCTCCAGGGCCCCCGATTTTAGTCACCACAGAATGCAAGCGCACGTCTGCTCTCTTCATCTCTCCACTAACTTGGCTTTGGATGCCTTGGGAATGAAGGGGTCACCGCACACTAATATCAGTTCATTCCCCCTTTCTCATAATCCTCCCATACCCCTGATCCTTTGCTGCTAGGGGAGGAAGCTCACTGAGGACTTTGGAGCCTCTGGGAGTGGATGATGCTATGTTGCATCTAATGCTTGTTGGATCCGTAGCTAGTATGCGTAGCCACTATGCCGTAGTCAGTATGCCGTAGATAGTATGCCGTAGCCAGTATGCCGTAGCCACTATGCCGTAGCCAGTATGCCGTAGCCACTATGCCGTAGCCAGTATGCCGTAGCCAATATGCCATAGCCACTATGCCATATATATATATATATGCATTAATAATATATTAACATTAATATAAATGCATGCAATGTTTGGCATGTGTTTAATAAGCACTTGGTGATTCTTTACATCATGAATCATTTATCTGACCACCTGGACTATGTTCTTCTGCATTATCTGTTTCTAGCTGTTAAGTTGTGGCATAGGCATGGGACTGGACTCCATTCTCAGCATGTACTGTGAGGCTCAATGTGCATTTGCAGACCAGGGTGGTTGAGGGACCACGTGCTCTCAATAAATGCAAGACCAACAGCAAAATGTGGTGGGTGACTTGTGCAGTTGGAAAGACCAGAGGTGCATTTGGACTCCTGCTATTCACTAGCAGTAATTTTTGTTATTGAGATGAAATTCAGAGAACATAAAATTAAAGTGTATAGTTGAGTGGCATTTCGTACATTCAGGGTGGTTCTGCAAGTACCATCTTTATCAAGTTCTAAACCATTTTCATTGTCCCAAAACAAAACCCTGTACCTTAAGCAGTCACTCCTGGTTTCCTCTCCCTTTAGCCCCTGACAACAAATCAAATCTATAGATTTACTTATTCTGGGTGTTTCATATAAATGGAATCTTACAATATGTGACCCTTTGTGTTTGCCTTCTTTCACTTATCATGTTTTCAAGGTTCATTCATGTTGTAGCCTGAATCAGTATTTCATTCCTTTTTATAACTGCATAATATGCCATTGTGTGGATATACCACAATTTGTTAATCCATTCTTCTGTTGATGGACATTTGGGTTGTTTCTACCTTCTGACTCTTGTGAATAGAGTTGCTATGAACATTGGTATACAAGTATTTGTTTGAGTATCTGTTTTCAGTTCTTTGGGGGTATAAACCCGTGACTGGAATTGCTGGGTCATATGGTTATTCTGTTTAACTTTTTGAGGAACAATCAAACTGTTTTCCACAGTAGCTGCACCATTTTACATCCCTACTGGCAGTGTTCAAGGGTTTCAACTTCACTACGTCCTTGTCAACACTGTTATTTTCCTTATTTTTGATTATAACCATCCTAGTGAGCATGAAGTGGTCTCTTTGTGGTTTCAGTTTGCATTTTTTTTTTAATGACTAATGATGTTGAACAACTTCTCTTGTGCTTGTTGGTCATTTGTATATCTTTGTTGGAGAAATGTCTATTCAAGTTTTTTTGCCCATTTTTAAATTGGGTTATTTGTCTTTTTGTTGTTGAGTTGTAAGAGTTTTTTACATATTCTGGATCCTAGACCTTTATCAGATGTATGATTTGCAGATATTTTCTCCCATTCTTTAGGTTGTCTTTTCACTTTATTGATAATAAAAGATATTAAGTATTTTGAACTGTATAGGTCATATGATGTCTGTCACAAGATCACTCCAGGTACTGTGTGTGTGTGTGTGTGTGTGTTTGTGTGTGTGTGAAGGGACACAGTTCTTAGGCAGGGCACAGTGTAAGGGGGGCCAGTTAGGAGGACACTTTCTTGAGGGCTTCAGGAATTCTTGGGACTGGGTGTAACTCTGGTTTTATAGTTTTATTTTTTGTCAGTACCTATCAAGAGGAAGTCCTGTAGTTAAGATTTGATGGATGGAATTAATTTTTCTGACTCAGATATAAATCTTCAATGCCCTTACTACCTCAGTCCATTCTACAGGCATCCAGATTATCTTTCAAAAATGCAAAACTGTCCACATCACTTGCTTCCATAAAATATTTAGCGGCTCTGTGTTGCTGTCAGAGTTGTGTTTATTTATGCCATAGGCATGTGTCCCAGGGACTGTGTTTGGTGCTGGAGTTACAGATGTAAGCAGGATGCTGTGATTTCTGGTGGCCAGGTTTGAACTTCTCCATGGGTGTCATTTAAGATACTTTCAATTTGGACCCAACATTGTTTTTGTCTCTTTCCCACCCCCTAGACCATAGTCACACCATCTCCCTAAAATTTCCTCTCTTGTCATGTCTTTATCTCCTTCTCTTCCTTCTGTACTTGGAAAGTCTTAGGTGGGAAAGCCCAGGATCTGGTGCATTTTTTCCTATGAAACCTTTTCCCCTCTCTGGGCTGTGCTAATATTTGCTCAAATTTGACTTCTATAGAATTATCAGTTTTGTTATAATAAACTGCCTCTGTAATCTGTCTGACCCAATATATTACTGTGCCTTGGGAGCAGAGACCAAGTCTTGCACCTCCAGGTCCTAGGCAGGGTACCTGGCACAACTCACTAAAATTTTGGACAGATTATTTTTTTGAATTACTTGCAAAACAGAGATACCTTATCTAACTGTATCATACAGCTGTTACAGGTACAAATAATATCATAGGTGTGGAAAATAGAATGCTGTGTAAACATAAGGTGGCACCATACAGTACCATATGTATACATTCTAATTTCATACTGTTAATTTCTTGCTTCCTGAAAAAGTTCCCTGGTTAAATACTGATGTTGAACAGTAGACACCTACTGATAAACTTTGGGATTGAAACTAGGTTCAGAGTTGACCTTAGGCAACATTGTCTTTAGTGATTCCTGTTCCCCCCTTCCGGTTTTTCCCTACCTTTTATTTTGACCCTCTCATCAGGGGGCAAATGCATTCATGTAATTCCTCTCACTATAGGGGCATTAATGTATTTTTATACTAACATAGTAATATGTTTCTAACAAGTTCTTAAGAAACTGAACTGTTATTTTACATGAGGGAAGGGAACAATGATGAACCTAAAAAATCAATCACGTTTTGATATTGTACTATAATTATATAAGATGTAACCATTGGGGGAAACTGGGTGAAGAGTACAAGGGTGCTCTCTGTACTGTCTTTTCAAATTACTATGACTCTGTAACTATTTCAAAGTAAAAAGTTTAAAGAAATCATCCATAATGGTAGATTTGTATATGTCCTGAGCCTCGATGCTTTCGTAACTGGAGGTCCTTCCGCGGTCCCTTCATCTAATCCAAAGCAAATGTCCGAGGTCTATGAAAATGTTGAGGTAAAAGGAAGGCCGTGCCCAACCACAGTCCACAGTGGTGGAGCCTCCAAACCCACCCCTGACACCCCAGGCCCCTCCCCTCCTCTCTTCAGTCTCTGCTCCAATGTCAAGTTCTCAGTGAAGACTTCCCGGACCTTCCTGCTAAAAGAAAAACACTACCACCCATACTATCCTATCCCCACTTTCTTGCTTTGTGTTTTCCTCGTGCACTTACCACATATAACTTACTACATTTTTCACTTTTTTATTTCAGTTTCTGTCTTCTCCCCCTAGAATGTAAGTTCCATGATGGCAAGGACTTTTTTTTTTTTTTTTTAATTTACTGTTGTGTCCTAATCGCCTAGAGCAGAATCTGGCCATTCGCTGATTTGTTCAATGAATGAATCTTTGTAGAAAATAAAAGCTTGAAAATAAGCTATTTCCCCGAGAGAGAGAGAAGTGATTCAAATCTGCTCATCCTTGTGCGAGAGCAAACCTGACTTTGAAGCTAAGACCTTTTTCCTGTGTTCATACTTCAGAAGAAAGATACTACTGATAATATCTGAGAGGAAGGAAGCAGTGCATTGTGCTGGGCCTCTGCGTGTAACATTATATAAATTGTCTTTTTTTATAGACCAGCCTCCCAAACGGTTTCCAGAGATGGATTATCTTACTTTCTTCTTGGCTATTCTTCACGTATACAGAGGTAAAGATAATGTCTTCATTTAAAAAATTTACTTCTTTTTTGGTCTTATAGTGTGACATGTTTAGAATTTATAATGCTCTTTAGTTGGCTCAGATAATTTCTCACTTGTTTAGGAAATCTACAAGTTACAAATACCTCTTATCGGCAGTGAAAACATTTTTAGACTAAGGTAGAAACTGTTAGCCTTTAGCATGATCTCAATTTGCTATCTTGCTAGGTCTTATAAAGCTTAGAATAAGCTTAAGGTATCTATTTGGTGTTTCAATCATCAAGCCTAAATGAATATATGTGATGTTGTGTATTTCAGCTCTATGCGAAGAGATGTTTTGGGACACAACTGTCAAACTTGCTGAGAATATGAGTCTAGAGTGTATATATTCATCACTGGACACCTTAACTCAGGTGGAATGGCTCAAGATCAATACAACAAACAGAGAGCTCATAGCCATTTTCAGCCCTACTTATGGTTTGAGTGTAAGACCATCCTATACTGATAGGGTTTATTTTTTAAATTCCACCATGGCATCTAATGATATGACCCTGTCCTTTCATAATGTCTCTGAGGCCGATGTTGGCTTCTATTCCTGCTTTCTTCATACTTTCCCACATGGACGTTGGGAAAAGGTGATCCAGGTGGTTGCATCAGGTGAGTGGACATTTTATTTACCTTTTTACCCATCTACGACATTTGATTCTTAAAGCCCCAGTAGAAACTACAAAATGCTTTATCATGTGTTTGTGGTATTTTCCAATTTCACTTCTAGATCTTATGATATTATTGTTTTAAAGAAATAGTTCTGTGAATCAGTTTCATTTTTCTTAATGTGCTATCATTTGTGAGTAGAATAAGCATCTGACAAATTTCAATGTAGTAGGAGAAAAGCCCAGGTTTTCTATTGTCTCAATAATGACTAGAGCGTAGGGATGCCTGGGTGGCTCAGTCGGTTAAGTGTCTGCCTTTGGCTCAGGTCATGATCCTGGGGTCCCGGGATTGAGTTCCGTTTCGGGCTCCTTGCTCTGTGGGGAGCCTGCTTCTCCCTCTGCCTGCCACTCCCCCTGCTTGTGCTCTCTCTCTCTCACAAATAAATAAAATCTTACAAAAATAATAATGACTAAAGCTTAGACTAAACTGATGTTGGCAGCATTTGGGTTCAGGACCAGATACCTCCCAATCTGAGCTTCCTCCCAGTGATGGGGTACTGCTTCCTTCTGCTAAGCACTCAGTGCTGGCTTCAACCTCTGTGTGTTCAGAGTCCTCTCTGTAACACCAAATCTAGATTTATTAGTGAATCTGGGCAGAGTTCCTGCACTGGCTCCATTTTTTGCTTCATCCAAGTTCCTAAGAGAGGACACTTCAGAAACTGCAAGGTGTCATTTCAAGAAGGATCAAATGATCTCCTAGATATTTTCTGCTATGCCTACCAGGGACTATGGTTTGGTGCTTGGTGAGTTAGTCCTTCGAGTAATAGCCACATGGATTGGGTATGGTATATTAGAAAAACATGGTTTTTCTAGCCTTTACTTTCTGCAAAACCTTATGTTAGCTGATCGATCCCTCTGTATCTCAGGCTTCTGAATAGTAAACTGAGTTAATAATACCATTCTCTTTGTTGAACGGCTTAGGGATCATATGGTTAAAGACCTTTGGCAGTCAGGGAGTGGTGGGTATTATTATTGTCACTATTATTATTCCCTACACTTTTGATACAAAATGACTAATGATGAAATTTTCAGATGTTGGCAATAGTCTAGGGAAGGAGAGTTTTGAACCATGTGTTTCTTGTCTGGAGTCTCTAAAATTGTATCCCAAATGGACATTCAGCAGAACACATTATGTGACATGTGCTAGAGTGCTTTCTTTTCAAGGGATGTATATTATAAAAGGACAATTTACAATATTGCTAAGGGAGAGCAAATAGTTAGAAGGTAAGGAAATTTCCCATGTGTTAGTTTTCTTTTTCTCTGTAGATGTAGCTAAGCACAAAAATAGTTTTGTGTATATGACTGAGGCTTACAAAGTGTCTATTAGCAAAATCTCTTTAATGAAATATTTATTATTGAGTCCATTTTGTCATTGAACTCATTCACTGTTGGGTGCGGTCACCCGTTGAGTGCTGTCTGCAAGTTTCTCGTGTGTGGACCACTTTTGATTAGCCAGGCAGGTGAAGAAGAGGATTGGCAAGGGCCTTAAAGTAGAGTGAGCTCTTCGACACTTGGCCTGAGCAACTAAGGCTGGAAACGAGATGGGACCCTTCACCCTTCATGTGGTGAGCTTTTGCAGCCTGGGTCCCAGATCAAGAATTCCAATTTCTGCCAAAGAAAAACTGATGAAACATAGGTAGAATAATGGTCACCAGGCACAGGGAGGTGGGGAAATGGGGAGCTGTTGTCAGAGGGTACACAGTTACAGTTATGTGGGATGACTTCACCTAGAGATCTAATGCCCTGCATGAGGACTGCAGTTAATAATATTGCATTAGGGGCGCCTGGGTGGCTCAGTTGTTAAGCGTCTGCCTTCGGCTCAGGTCATGATCCCAGGTTCCTGGGATCGAGCCCCGCATCGGGCTCCCTGCTTGGCGGGAAGCCTGCTTCTCCCTCTCCCACTCCCCCTACTTGTCTTCCCTCTCTCGCTGTGTCTCTCTCTGTCAAATAAATAAATACAATCTTTAAAAAAAATAATAATAATATTGCATTAAACCCTGGACATTTCCTAAGGGAGTAGATTTCAGGTGCTCTCACCACAAAAGAAAAATGGTAACTATGTGAGAAGAAATGTAAATTAGCTTGATTATAGTAATTGTTTCAATATATATATATCAAATGATTGTATTGCATGCCTTAAATATATACATTTTTTTAAAGTCTTATTTGCTTCTTTTTTTTTTTAAGATTTTATTTATTTACTTGAGAAAGAGAGAATGAGAGATGAGAGACAGAGAGCACAAGAGGGAAGAGGGTCAGAGGGAGAAGCAGACTCACCACTGAGCGGGGAGCCCGATGTGGGACTCAATCCTGGAGCTCCAGGATCATGACCTGAGCCGAAGGCAGTCGCTCAACCAACTGAGCCACCCAGGTGCCCAATATATACATTTTTTTAAAAAGATTTTATTTATTTATTCAAGTGAGAGAGAGAGAAAAAGAGAGAGTGAATGAGGGTAGGGGCAGAGAGAGAAGCAGGTTCCCTGTAAGCAGGCTCCCTGCTGAGCAGGGAACCTGACCTGGGGCTCCAACCCAGGACCCTGAGATCATGACCTGAGCCGAAGCAGATGCTTAACCAACTGAGCCACCCAGGTGCCCCAAATATATACATTTTTAATTAAAAAAAAAAAAACCCAAACAACAGGCAATTTGACCTCTTCCAAAAGTTTCAGATAGAGGATAGAGCTAAATTGTTGGGAACTGAGTTGTGATTGCCATACTAAGGTAGGATTTTTAGTATTATATATGAGCAATTTTGGCAATATTTCCTGCTTTTATCATCCAGATTTATTGCTCCTATTATTTTCTTGAAGTTAGGCAAAGGGAGATCTTTGCCTTCTGGGGCTTTTTCAAATACAATGGTAGGATTTTCAGTCACTTACTGGTCAAAGATAGGAGCGCCTGTCTCTCCACATAGATGAATTCTTCATGATGGTATTCTTAAGTGTGTTTCGTCATGATTGTTTTTGATCACTTATATTTTTAAATAACAGATTGCAGTAATGGGCCAGTGAGAGTATTCCACTCATTTTTGAGACTTGGAGGAATTCCTTTAAAAAAAATGATAGTGAATTTAAAAAATATAGTAGCCATATTTCAAAGTTAACCTTATATATACTTGAAGTTTTCTGTGTGTGCTTTATTAACATGGTATCCGGACCTATACATATTGCACGTGTGTGTAGCATAAAGGGAGAGTTGATGATCTATTTAATAATACAAGATTGGAGTTGGAATCCAGAAATCGTAATTTGTGTAAAAGTTTATAAGAACTTCAAAAGGATGAAGTAACTGAACCATATGCTCTCTAAACATACTCCTCTTTGCTGATAGCTGACTATGTATGAGGAACTTGGTCAGTATCTTCTCATTTAACCCCGTTGCCCTCTTGGATGTAGACATAATCTTGATTTTATAGGCAAGGACTTGAAGTGTGGTGAGGTCCAGTATCTGGCCAAGTTCTCAGACCTTGTACGTGTCCCACTGGATGAAATTGTGGTGAGGAATGGAAAAGGACCGCTTGGGGGACATGGAGCTGCAGGGGCTCTCAAATGAGAAGTCAACCACTGTACATCCTTGCTTCCCCACCCCCCACCTGGGGCTTTCAGCTCAGAGCTAGAGAGCAAATGGGACAGTCTTGTGCTGAATAGATGGTGCTATTAATACAAATTTATGTTAAAAGATGTATTAACATTACAGAAGCCTTTCTCAATTGGTAACTGATGTGGAGAACTTAATGGTAAGAATGGCTGCATTTATTGTACTGCTTCAAGGGAAAAGCTGCTGGGGTGGCTTGGGCGGGAACCTTCCAGAAGCAACCCTTTCATGGCAGAGTTTGTGGTGGAAGTGGGATACTGCTGAAAATTACCGCAGCCCATGTGTCTGGCCTTACTAGTCCGTTAAAGTGAACGTAGTTACACTTATGGAAGTGTCCCCCCCACATGGGTGGCCCACCCACACTACTCTTCTACCTAACTTTCATCAGGTGCCTCCTGGGCATGAACCAAATGTCCTCTCCTCTGATGTTTGTGCAACACCGCAGCGGAGGTAACGTGTTCCCATCGTACTGCTGATGGAAGGGTTCAGGGTCATTACTCACCTGGAGGTTGTGAGCTGTCCAGTCGCAGCACCAGGGTAAGACCCTTCAATGTTTGGGAAGCGCCAGAAATGAGATGGAGGGGAGCTGGATTCCAGCACTGTGAGCGAGGAGGCTCGAGGATCAAGTCACGCTGGACGTTGACAACATGGAAGGATTTTTCCCAAGATAGAGAGACCGATGAGGGATGGAATGAGAGTGGAGAGGGTGCAAGGAAAGTGTGACGTCCATGCAGGGAGAGAGCACAGAGCTCCAGCAGGATGTGGTTCCCGCCCTGGGCTCTGTGGCCCCTTGCTGCCACGAGGGGTAACCTGATAGGAAGAAACAGGGGCACCTGCACCAGCCAAGGGGCTCAGCATGTGATGTGCTGGGGTCCCAAGTAAGGTTTTATGCGGTAGATTCTAAGTTGAAAAAAAGAAGTTGAAGCCCACTGGGGCAGCCCGATGTCATAAAGAGCCTGGGCAGTTTGGTTGGCTCAGATCTTGCTGTGCCTCACAGAGTCTGAACTTCACTCTGGGAAGACTGGGGGAAGCCACTGAACATTTTTCAGAGGGAGACACACAATAAACCAATTTTTTTCACCACCTACAAGATTAAATTAGTTGTAGCTTATAGGAGGGGAAGAGTTTAAGGTCAGAGTAAACAAGTAATATTTTGTGGATTGGAACACTTACCCACTGCTGGTAGAAGTACACATTAGTATATCTATTATATTATTGGTATTGGTAATATTCAGGATTCTCCTGACAAACAGACCAATAAGACATATATGTATATAGAAAGAGATTTATTACAAGGAATCAGATCATTGATTTTGGAGACTGGCAAGTGCGGGCCCATAGGCTGGAGTC